GGAACCAACTCGCCAATGGTGGCGGGGGGTGGGAGGCCCCCCCTATTCTGCAGGAGGAACCCTGACGGGCCCAGAATCCACATTCATCGAGAAGCAACTCCACCATCAACTGCCCTATCTAGGCCAACTTGAACCTGACATCCTCCGGTCATGTCAGACTACAGCTGCCATATTGAACCAGCAAAGTCTCGGCACCCCATTCTCAGCCTGAGCTCCCTCCACTCAAGACAGAAGGAAGGAACAGCTAAGACCCCCATATCTTGTCCGGTCCCTCCACCAACGCCTGTTGGAGACCTTGGCACTGGGGCGTAACAGGAGCTGCCTTGCCACCGCTGCCTCCCTGACTGATGAGGCGGCATTTAGAGTTCAGAAGGTGACTCAGTCAACACCAGACAGGCCCAGGTGTGTATCGATCGATCCATTTTATCAGCAAACATCATGTCGGGGGGAAGTTGCTTTTAGCGAGCAGAGGTGAGGCTGGAAGAGGAGAAGTCCCCGGAGAGATCCCCAAAGTAATGTGGAAATAGCCAAGTAGTTCCTCTTGGTCAGAAGAAGGTAAAAGGCCTGGAGAGAATGGGTTTGGTTCCCGCCTCAAAGCACCAAAGTTGGCTTTGAGGCGGTCCCTTGGGGTCTTCCTGTTTGACCGAGTGGGCCCCCCGCTTTCAAAGTCTTCACAAATGCTTTGTGTTCAAAGAACACAACCATTTTGTGTCCACCTGTGGCATATATGAATGGTTATTGGGAAATCTCTCCTCTCTCTTAGGGACCTGTGGAAAAACTACACGCACACACCACACACACTTTACGGCATACTGCATTTTACCCCATGGATGGAGACCCTCTACCTACGATACCCCCATTCTTTAGATCCCCCTGAAAAGAATCTTTATATCCCAGACAGCTCTCTGGGAACTAGCGCTCATCCCTGGTGGGCTGCAAGTGGCTGGAGCATCCTGTGCGCTGGTGGAGAGAGGACGGGCCCACGGCCCCACCCGCATCGCTCTGCCAGCACCCCTCCAGCCTGGCTGGCTTCCAAGGGCCCGGGAATAGCTGGGGAACAGCTGGAAGTAGTGCAGAAGCTGCCCTTCCAGCAGGGGCCACCCAGGACGCATCTCCCAGGCAGCTGCCAAGGGCCCCTCCTGCCGTCGGCCCTGCGCAGGCTGGAGGAGCACCTTCTTCCCTGCCGGGGAGGGCGGGGCAGGGGCAGGGAGGGGCCGCCTGAACCCAGATGAGCCCCCAAGATGGGGAGTTGCACTCACCCCCTCTCCTCCTCCGCATCGAGGCTTGGAATCAAGAAACAAAGTACAAGACGTCAGTGGCAGGTTGGCGCGTTTCCTCCCCTGGGCTGCACCCCCTGCCTCTGCCAAGAGGAGACAGTGCCTTGGTTGAGGGCCCGGTCTGTCCCCCAGGTGGGGTGGGGGAGCAGCATTCTGGGATGCAACCCTGGACATGCTTCCCACAAGGCAGCCGTGCCACCCCATCCCCTCGCCCGGCATGCACTCCTCCCCACAGCAGCAAGGGCTGGAACCAGGGCGTCCGTGGCGTCCTTTCCCCTCCCCAGCCCTCTTTCCTTTGCACATCACAAGCTGGAGGGGAAAGAAGGTCCCTTCCAACTGAACCACAAGGTGCATCAGGAGCCTTTCGGCCTGAAGAGCAGAACACAGAAACGTTAAGTCATTGCCTGGGCCTGGGCCTCCCTTTCCCCAACTGCAGAACCCCCTCCCTCCCCTTCGCGGCCATGAAGGGCAAGGTCTGCACCGGCTTCCTCCACCTCACAGCAACTCTGGGATGGGGCTGTCAAGCAAATCTGCCACTTCTGTGACCGGGGACCACCCAGCAACCTCACAAAGACAGGAAGGGCCTCGACAGATGCATTGGGGACTGGAGCCCCAACACGCCTACCTGGGAACTCTGTTTAGGGGCACTCCTCTTTCCAGCCACCCCCCCGCCTCTGCCTCTCAGGGGTCCAGCCAGCCATGCCCTTCACTTGCACAATGCATTTCACTGTCGGTGGAAATGGCAGAAACCAAAGAAGATTCCAGGTGCCAAGAGGGAGAGGGCTCCATGGTCATCACCTGCTGAATAGTTACACCTTGGCCAAAGAGGGGCGCTGCTGAACCACCGGAGCCAATTCAGGTGTGTAAGGGACTAGTGATTGTCACACCTGTCAGAGAAACCCACCTGTCCCATCCCTAGCTGTGCAAAAATGCTAGAAGAGAAGGAAGGAAGAGCCCCCAGCCCCCCAGCCCCTCAGCCCGCTCTCAGGGTCCCATTGTGATTTTTATGGAGAAAAGGACCTTCAAGGCCTAAGTCGCTATTCCAGCAGCCGGAGCTGGTAAATGAAACGTGCGTTGCTGAAAGGTCTGTGGGGTCTGGGTGTGTTTGTAGCTGGGGGTGGGAGGAATCTGAGGTTCTCCCAGATAGGGACGGCGATCACTGAGAAGATGACCACAAGGAGATGCCCCAACTGGCATCCGGCTGAGGAACTGGGTGACTGGAGAGCCAAAGGAGAGCGAGGAGTCCCCAGCGCAGGCTCTTCAGGAGCAGGACTCCATAAGGACAGGGGTCAAAGCAACAAACAGTTGCTCTATAAACCGTTTCTCCTTTGATGCCCAACCAACAGCGAGGAAAACTTGCTAGCAGCCCATGTCAACCATACAAGGAGCCTTCTCTCCAAACGTGTAAGGCTTCGTGGTGGCTGGGAGGGAAGAGACCAGAGACACCCCCAAGGGGAAAGTCTGGTTTGGAGAGGTGTCGCTTCCCCTAAAGTTTCCCTCAAGTGTTCTGGGATGGCCCAGGGAGCAGTCTGGGGCACCGGGTTTTCTTTGGGGTGCCCTCTTCTGCTGTTGTCCTGCCCTTCTCTTGCGTAAGCAGGGAGGGTCCTTCAGGAACAGGGGAGGTGCAAGGAGCGCCTAGGAAGATGGAAAACTCTGGGGACACGTGGGCCCAGAGGCCACGGGCCAGGACAAAGGCCTCTCAGGCACAGAGCAAGATGGGCCTGGCAGGGCCTGCCAGGGGGGCTGCCTAGGAATCCGTGGGGAGGTTGCCTTGAGGTGGAAGAAAGGCAGGATGCACGCAAGCAGATGGGCGGCCGGCCTAGGAGATGGCTTGGCCTGGTGATAAATAACCGTGGTGGCAAAGCCCTTGCAAGGCAGGGATCACAGCTGTGCAGGAGTACAAGCAACCCGGACAGATGCAGATGTTCACTACGGAACTTGGGGAAGGAAGACGGGAATTCCTTGGAAAAGCAGGGAAGTGCAAGGTGGGGGCTAGCGAGTTCCGCAGAACAGCAGACCACAAGCGTAAAATGGGGCGCTGGTCACACGGGACGGCGTGGCTACGAAGAAGCCTCTCTGCTGCCAGCTAGGCCGGCACCCTGTGCTGGCGAGGGGTTGGGTAAGGCGCTGCCACCCCCTTCCTTCCCGGGATCACGCCTCAGGACTTACCCAGCTCTTCCAGCTCAGCGGTCATGGACTTGGAGCGCAGGGTCAGTGTGGTGCTGGGGGCTCTCTTGGGTGGCGGCGGAGCTGAAAGGAAGAGAGAGGGCATTTTGCACTTCCTGTCCAGCAGCTTGCGCGGCGTGGCCAGGTGGAGGTGCCACTTCTTCTCCACCGCCTGAATCTCCTCGTACTCCCGGGAGGAGGAGTCGCACTGCTGCAGAATCTTGTTGAGGCTGCGGGTGGAGGCAAACTTCTTCATCGTCCTGCGGCCAGGCGGGGCAGGGCGGGAGCGCTGACCCAGGGCAGGTGGTCCCCAGGACCTCAGCTCAGGAGGCGCCCAGCCATGACTTGCCTGGGCCAGAAGGTTGGTGCTCAGGGTTGCCTCTGCCAGGCGGCAGGCCTGCTGCCCCCCGGGCGTGCCATGGGCCACGGGGTGGTTGGGCCTGCTCTCCAGCCCTCCCCCTCATGCTCAGCCCCCGTTCCTCCACCGGGCTGG